GTTTCTAATTTGAGCTTGAGCTCTAACAGTGGGAGTTTGATTGTTATCATTTATTAGTAATTCGAGAGCGTGTTTTTTGGGAACTAAATTTTTATTAGATTCTTTTAAAGCATCTATTAAAATGTTCCACCTAAAAGTGGAAGCTGAAAAAAATACGTACAAATCGTTTAAAACATAAAAAAATTGGTGGCATTTAAACAACTTTCCGCTGCACAGGAACCAATTAGATTTAGTGAATGAGCGGCACATGGGATATATACAGCTTTTTTATTTTGATTTTTAATTCGTGCTTAAAGGCCCGAATATTTTCCGGACATATTGGAGGCATTGTCGTAAGCTTGACCCATACAGTCTGTTATATTTAGAGAAAGTTCATTTAATGTTTGTAAAACAGCAGTTTCCATTTCTGAAGACTTATGTCCAACCTTACTTACAAACTTTATAAATCGTTCAACTATAGATCCATCAGGTAATACATAACGTAAAATAAAACTCAACTGACCTATATTAGAAACATCCGGGGTAGAATCTACGCTAATTGAATAATATTTAGCATGCTTTACTTCCTCAATAATTTTTTTTGTAGTTAAAGTTGCCATTATGTCAATAAATTCATCGCATATAGTTTTGGATAAATAAGAAGTGTGGCCTCTTCCCTTATTTGCCTTTTTCTCTAAATGATTTTTTAAAAAGTGATCAAATTTTGCAATTAATTCGAGCGTGGCTAAATAATTTCCACATCCTTCTTCTCCTATTTTTTCAAAACTTCCCCGAAATGCTAATCCTTGCTTTGATAAAAACTTCACAGCGGCTATTAACCTTTTTAAAACATTTCGCCAATATTCCTTCTCCGCAAGGTACTGTTTTTCTATAACAATGTCTATTTTGGCAAGAGTTTTTGATCCTAATATATAAGTTTTTGTATTTTCTCTATGCCCTGCTGACTTTTCATGTTCACCAAGTCTTTCCAAATGTTTCCAATTATTAAACCCATCGACAAATAATGTCTGCTTAGTAGATCCGAATAATTTACATTGTAAACAATAAACCATATTAGTTAAGTTAGAATACAATAACCACTCTCTGCGAACAATTTCACCGTTTATAAATTTATAAATTTAGTATAAAATATGTGTAAAAGGAATTTTTATTAAATATTCAATAAATTCCTTATTAACATGCCATGTAGCAGGGTCAAGAGAAGGGTTTATTTATTTTTTTTTGAAAAATTGATCCAATTTTGGAACTTTTTTCAAAAGTTCTTCTGTCTTCTCTTCTTCAATTTGTAGATTTTTTCTACAGGTCGCGCCACTTTTATTTGTCTTTATTAAAAGGCACAGAATTCTCTGTGTTGAAAGGATAAATAAATATAACTTTTTAATAAACACAACACAATACTAAATTTTAATCTAACACCAGAAACAGCATCAACAGTTAGATACACTATTTGTCTAAAAGTTTTAAAAACACAAACCGCCACTTATAAGTAAACTAATTTAACAACAATTTCCAAATGTTTTTGAAACACACAAATCGCCAATGTATACGTTTTCAACTCACAAGTTTATAAAGAACTGCAAAAACTGGCAATGTTTATAAATATTGTGATTTCTATGACTATTTCCCTATTTCCAATCACAAACACGCAATTTTGAATTACAAATGGTTTCTAGGTGAAAAAACTGTGTGACAGCACCTGTCAGCAGTTTATTCGAGTTTACCCGCGGCAAAACTTGACAGCAGCTGTTGTCACCAAAAATTGCAATTTATATTTTAATTGTTAACTGTTACTCATGAAATAGTCTTGTCAAATATCATTCGGGCATCTAATTTTTCCTGTGAAAAAAATCGAAAAAACACAATGCTAAGAAATATTTTTTAACAAAAAGCATTCGTGCAGGTGCAAAAATCCTCCTCTTCGACTCGGATTTTTGTTGCCACCAGCACTCATGCTTTTTGTTAAAATATCACTTAGCAACGTGTTTTTTCGATTCTTTTCGGAAAAATTAAATGCCCTTATGATATTACTTACGAAAATCTATTTACTTATAATATAGGGGTTATACTTTCGCGCATTAACTTTTGTTTAAAACTGTAAACAGTGTTGCCAGTCTAGAACAAATGTACTAAAGTGTATTTAAATCCAATCTAGTAGATTTGATCTACTGATATGACTATTTTAGTAATTATTGGTTGCTTCTCTTCTACTATTACAATTTGTAATATGTAATTTTTTGGGCGGCGCGCCAACTCGTATAGAGTTGGCGCGCCGCCCAAAAGGTAACGGTCGGCGTGGCGTGCGCCCCCCTTTGGGATTTCGCCCCGGGGCCATGGCCCCAATGGCCCTGTGGTTAATCCGGCCCTGCCTACTAGTAGGATACGTAGACAGTCCCATTTAATAATTATATAGTTGAAATAAACTTAAACCAGTTCATTATAGTTTAAGTGAACTTAAGAGTTAAAAAGTAGTTAAAAAAGGGTAAAATAAACCAAAAACTACCAAATATTAACTTCTTGTTAAACAAAAGTCGTTTTTTTCGCGTAAATACCATGAAATACTATGGTTATTAAACTTAACCGTGGTTAATAGTTAAGGCATTTTTGCGTTTAGAGTGCGTTCAAAAATCCTAACTATGACGTCACAAATACCAGACCATAAAACTATATCGCTGAGCTAGTTATTCAACGTGGTTAATAGTCTTTCTCTTTTTAATATATATTTTTCTCTGTTTCAATCTGTCAAGAAGTTGTTTAAATTTGAAATTTAAAATATTTTAAGTAGGTACAATTGCTCTTAAACCGAATTTAAACTTTGTATTAAAATGGTAAACGGGGTGTTGTCAGTAAAAATAAATGATAGGGTGCTCCATTATGGAGCCTCCATATTGTGAATCTCCACAAGTGGAGGAATTATATGCAGGTTTTTTTATATTCTTCCTTATTTTGTATTAAACATGTAGGAGAATTGGATAACGTGTATTAAAAAAACTAGTACCTATAGAAAAAGAATATACTAGGTATAAAAAGAGGCAAAGAAATTTATTTACACCGGTAAAAGCATAGAAATTAAATATAAATAGGTAAAAACACATTTCAAAAATTTTAGGTTATGAACAAGTAAACAAATGTCAAATGTTAGAAACCTAACCATGGTTATATGAATTAACTGTGACGTCATGACTTATTTAACCGTAGTATTACATAGTATTTACGCGAAAAAACGACTAAAAGGTATATTAGTTAGTTACATTTAACTAACATAACGTTAATTTTACCATAATTGAATTCCCCACTTATTACAAAATACCGTTAATTTAAGGTTAATTTAACGTTGTAGTACAATATTACTTAAATGAATTAACCAGACATAACGTAAATTTAACGTTAATTTAACCAGTTGTGCTACTTGGGCTGATATAATGCATTGCAATGGCAGCGATTTCGTTAACGCGGCTCGTCTGGAAGACGCAGCAGCCCACCGTCGACGGCTACGTCTCGACTGCTCAAAAACAAGTCGGGACGCGAACGCTAACCAAGTTTTTCCAGTTTAAATTTATGAAGAGAGAAATAAATGTTAAAATAGTAAATTTATTAGTGAAAATGTCCAAAAATTGTACTAATGTTGATGACGAAATATTAATATAAGTGTTAAATCAAGTTTTTGGAATCGGAATTTTTACATTATTTGTGGACTGCTTTTTATATCTTTACAAATAAGAATTAAAACAAAATCCAATTGCTCTTTATTAAGTCAAAAAAGCCACAGAACTTTTCATTATCTGCTTCAAGATGGTTTTTCATTAGAACTTTTTAATTTCCTTTTTGGCTTTTGGAAGTGTTTATTCGTCAGTTTCGTTTCTTTTCTTCTGGACGTTAATAACATAGGAATTTCATTATCTTCTTCATCTTCAAGCAAAAATATTGCCAATGTATTCGGATCCATTTTTCTTCACTGCTATAATTTTAGATTTTAGATAATTTTAATGTAGACGCCCGCGAACGCTGGACGTCGCAACGAAACCGCACTAAAACATGGGAACGCAACGTCACTGCCAGACGTCGCGGCGGGCCGCAACGTCTGAACGTCGCAACGAAATCGCACCTTAAGGGTTCCTAATAAAATTGATACCTACATACAGTTGGAATTGATTGACAATTTATAACAATAAATTTTAATTAAAGGTAATTGCTGCCAATTTTTTATAGGAAACCCGGCACAATGTATTACTACAAGAGTTCGAAAAAATATCTGTACAAATTGTTATTATTAATAATTATTTGTGAAATGCAAAGTGAATGTAGTAGGTATTTAATGATATTGCACCCAATTTTTTTACTGGTTATTGCATTACTTGTGATTACATTACGATTATTAATTTATTTTTTAACAAAATTATAAAAAAAAACGGTGTGGGCGCGTCACTTCCGTCTCGTGTCGTTTTTTCTATTTTTTTAATTTCTTCCCATCTTGAAATGTTCTCTTCCTCTTAACTCCATCTTGAAACGTTCTCTTACTCTTAATCCTTGAATTTGAATACTGGATTCAAGTATAGAGCATACAATATTCATTTTTACATAACCCTAATACCTCCACATAAGACAGAATGAATAACATTTATCAGCACTAGGTTTGAATGCTTGACTCAGTTGTAGAAATCAGAACATTAGCACGAGATTTAAACGCTTGACTTAGGTGCACCTAAGTTTACATGTAGAAATCAGAACAAAATCATTTGCTTTTATCATATAGATTGTCCGTTTGTCTTTAAAAAAATATAAAATAAAAACAAATTTTAAAATTGGTCAATTGCACCCATTGCCCCACCCCTGCATCCGCGCCTGGTTGCAGATTGTCTGTAAAATTCAACATAATTTTTTCTTAAGTTCGTTGCACGGGATTTATAGATCTGATAGATTAATAAACAATGTTGGTTACGCCACTGGTAAAATCAATAATTCATGCGGATCCGGCCCTGACCAGCTCGTATTTTGTCAAACGCGGTGTCTGTTGATTGGCCGTGAACATTTGTTTTCGAGGTGATTGTGTTCTGTGACAAGATATATACAACCATAACAAGATGAATCTTTTTGTTTTGCCTTTATTTTGTTTACTTCTAGTCAACGTAGTTTTAGCACACAATAAAATCTCAAGAGTGAGGTTAGAGGTGAGTTAAAAAACTAACTTTTCATGATTTTACAAAAGTTCTTGTTTAGAGTTGTCCAGGATGTTCCCTGAACCGCCTACACGAAGTTAAACAATTCTTCTATGAAGATGTACCAAAGTATGAAAATGTCGAGTGGAAAAGAATTGGTGGTGCTCCACCAGAGGCAATATTTTTAGATGAAAACGATGAGGAAGTTGAACGTCACATGTTAAAAGATAAAAGCAGGGAAGAATGCAATACACTCCTTACTAGCAGGGGTTTTATTATGAATGAAGATAAGGAACTTTAGGTGTTGTAAAAATATTCAGAATTTAAATCATTTAATTTATTCAGCTAAATATTCACAATAATATATATACAATTCAAGATACAAAATTATATCGATATTTTAAACAGGTACCTTGAATAAAATTTGATAATAATTATAGTCTGTAATTTACTTGGTACCTACTTAGCATTTAATTAAAATTAAATATATATTATATTTTTAAATTATTTAATAGATAAAATGTAAAAGTATGGAACTATATAAATAGTACCTATACATTGATGTTGGTTGAGTCTTCTTAAAATCAGTTCTGAAAATAAAAGTAAAAAATTACAATCTAGATTGTTAAAAATTTATTAGTAGGTAGAATCCTATAATTTTTAGAATATTTCTTTAAGATCTTTGATGTAGGTACATCTTTAGGCAACATTGTTTTATAAATTATCCATACTAACAATACAAGTTCACATTTTTCATTTAAAATAATAATATATCTAATAAAACTATCTATCTAATAAAAAGGTGTTCCGAAACTTTCCTGACAAACAGAAACCTTTAATTCTAAAGATGGTTTTCAGCCCAATAACAATGTTATTTATTTAACATGTGTTAAGAGGCCTAGATTTATTTTTTGTTTACATTAAATATTTTTATGAAGGGAATGGTAAAAATTTTGCACTTTTAAAAGGACAGGTAGGTACAGTATACTTTTTAAAAGTTTATAATTTAAATGATATTCTCAAAACTACTTACTTAAGTTGATGATTGCCATAACAGGCACTTATAAAGGTTATAGACCAATTGGGTTAGGTTTTTTTTACAGCCTAGGCTGATTTATAAAACATCTCAAAACAGTTTACACGCATTTACAGAGCATGACAGATGTACTACTTTCTGACATTTCAGTAGGTAACTCAAAAGTATTTGTCGGATTTTTTTTTAAATTTTTTTAATATAAAGAAAGTGCGCCATTTTTGAAACACCATGTATAAAATTATGTAAAAAATTAATAAATTATTAAGTTAATATTTCCCAGAGATATAGATACCTATCTTTGGTATTTCCATTTGAAGAGTTTTAAAAATAACAGTAGGCTGTGACAGCAAATTCAGTGGTGCCAATGTAGTTTTAAAAAACGTTGTATTTTAACTAGAGATTAAAACATTATTACAAATTAAAGTATCATCTCTTTTAAAAAGTAACAATATAAATTGTTTATTTTCTATTAAAATGGCAGCACAAAATTTAAAATGATAATTTTAATAAGTGGCAAAAAAGTGTTTTTTAAGGTTTTTTATTAAAAATATACTGTAATAATCAATTTTTAAGCCATAAACATAATCTTCCTCAGTTGCTCAAGTTTAAAAACGAATTTTTGAAGGAATCTTTGAAAAATAACACTTGTGCAGAATTATTATTATTATTTCCCACAGATTTCCCATACATTATTTCATAAATTCGTTTTTTTTAGCCTGTTTAACTGGCTAAATTGTACAGCCCTAATTAGTATTTAATACTATTATTTAATGGGATTTCGGATAAAATTTAATATGCACCTTGGAATTAAAGTCATTTTTTAAAAATTCGACTTTACTGCCTTGATACATAAATAACTATTCTTGGAATCTAAAATTATTTGTAAATGTCTAATGCCTCATAAAATCATACATTACATTTTGAAGACCTTCTATGGAAACTACCTTAAGAAGTTTAAAAAATAACATTTTTGCCACTGCATTATTTCAACTAATATTTAGATTAAAAACTTGAAATTTTTTTTGGAAGTTCTTAAAAATAATTAAAATTATACAGATTGATTCTTAACGCATAATACCCATAAACTTGAGAAATTATAGCTGAGGACCAATAATGACTAATAATGAGTAAAACCTTGAGTAAAACATAATAATGACTAATAATGAGTAAAACCTTGAGTAAAACATTTTTATTTACAGTGATAGCAATTTAATAAAAATAAAAGAACTTAAATTTCATAAAATTAAAAATCCATTTAATTTATTATAGAAACTGAGGAATAATAATAATGTAAAAAAATTAGTAAAACATTTTAAGTTATGGGGAAAATGAACTCAAATACGACCACAACTGATAACAAAGTATTGCTAGAAATACCAAATATTTGTATTTATTGTTGAAGTATAGGAAACCTACAGGGAATTTTTTCCCATAAATTTTAATTGTTAATATGTTGCTATATCGTTGCTATGTTTATTAAGTGACATAAACCAAACATTTGTCATACCAACAACAAATTTAGTGTTTTGGTTGTTAATACGAAACTAAAATTGGTTGCATTAACAGGGTTCATACTATTGAATTCGTATAAAATTCCCTGACTTTTCCAGGTTTTCCAGAACTTTCTCAAGCTTTTTCCATAGACTGTGGAAGGTGTCAAAAATTGATATTGATATTCAGGCAAATAGGAAAAAAATAAAAAATAGAATTTATACTTTGCTGCTTTAATAACAGACCATAAAAAGAAAAATAAATACATATAGCATAATTCATATTTTATGTGACCTGGACTTTAGAAAGGTACCTATGGTCGGAAGAATCAATTTTTGTTTTTTGATCGAAATTTATAAAAACGTATTTTTTAATGGAACATACCGCAGACTCTTAAGTTTGAAACTTTTGCTGGAAATCAACCTTAAAGTTCAACAATTATAAAAATCGCGAAAAAAGTTATAAATAGATCAAGAATTGCTTTTTTTGATCTTTTATTTTCGTCAATCCTGAAGAGACATATCGAAAGACCAATCTGGTACAACGTCATCTTCTATGTCACTAACACCTGCACCTCCACCTTGATCTTCGTAATCTTCATCACAATCCGCAAAACATTGTTTCTCCACTGCTTTAAATTCTTTTTCTAAATCCATTATGCACTTTCACAAACTAAAACAACTTTAAATTAGCTGCATAACAACGAAAAACCACGATCTCGAAAATACAATGATAAGAAAAGCAGCACGTATTATTCCAACTTTTTCAACGTTCACAAAATTAGCTATTTGGGGGAAATCACTTGAATAAGGTACAAAAATATTTATTGTAAAAGCACCACTGTATAATGGAAGTCTAAAGAGAGGTGGAGAGCCAATGGTAAAACGAAAAAAGAAAAGGTAGAAGCGCAAATACAAACGCGTCGCACGGACAGTACTTGTTATCTTTAAGGTAGTTGTCATGGTACAATATTGTCAAAAATTTTTAGATTATACGCACCGTAAAAGTATACGAGCTTGTAGCTAAGTGATTCATAATTTGTTCGCAAGACTGTACCCTGGAGACGTTACCTTTACGTAATACTTTCAAATATTTTCATAATTTTAATCCGGCAACGTCGCTTATGCTCAACCAATACATATATTGGAGACTGAATCAGTGCGTTTGAATTTACTGCGGAAATAATATCTATACTCGCGTACAGCCTTGCCAAGTTGTTTTTATCTGACACTAGTGATTTATACTTTTTACAAATTGTTGAACTTTAAACGGTTATTTATAAACAATTGGACGGTCAAAAATTTTTAATTATTTTTTTTTAAACTCAGCAAAAATACATTAAAACACTGTTAGCTTTTTGAAAGCTTCTAACAGTTAGTTTTTTCTGTATAACTAAGAAACTGGTACAGAACTACAGAAAGCCTATACAATCCATGTTAATTATCCAATTTTTAATTGAATTTATCTCGGGTTATAGACGGTCAATCGACCCAAATTTTAAGGATGTATGTATTGTCATGTCCTTAATAAGTATACAAAAATTTAAAATTTTCTGATGGTATGCTTACAGCACGACAACTACCTTAACAGCTGTTTTCTCGAAAACTTGATTTCTAACCATAGGTAGCTTTCCATAGTCCAGGTTACATATGTAATTCAAAAACAAAACTTTTTTAGATCTTTTAAAATTTAACTTAACAGTTATAACAAAACATAGAGCATATTTCTCGTAAATAAAAACAAAACAAAATACAAAAATAAGTCAAATAACTATTTTAAACTTTTTCTCTCAATATTTGTAGACGTCTATTGATACTGTCCACTTCATGGTTGGTTCCTTCAGTTAATTTTTGTTTTCCAGAACCTTGATTTCCGTTATTAAACAATTTTTCAAAATTACGAGAAAGACTTGTAATGTTACTTTGACTTTTGTCAAAGACAAACTGACAGTTACACGATTAGGTAGTTACATTAAAATTGCCCAAGCATTTCATTTATATTAAATCATAATGTAGATCTTTTATATTATTATTATTTTAAGTATTAGTATTATTAACAGATAATTCCCTGACTTTTCCATGACTTTTTAGACTCATTTTATATTCCCTGACTTTTCCCGGATTTCCCTATGAACCCTGATTAATTAAAACAAACTAAACTAGTTATAAATGTAATTATAATGTAATTGTGGTTATTGTAGGTTACCTTGAACGGTAGTCAAGTTGAGTTGTCAAAATTCGTAGTTAAAAATGCAATTAATTTGGCTTTGGTGGTGTGTAGATGAGTAAAATCATATAAAAAAGTAGTTAAATATAGGCGCACTCATGAGTACAGCGGCTGTACTACAGCCCAGGAGAGTTAAAGGAGTTAAAGTATTCCTAGCGAATAATAATCTTTGTTTTAAAAAGAATTTATATAAAAGAAATTAAAATTTTATGTGAACACAAGTGAATGTTTTCCAATCATTATTTCCCCGTATTTTTTAAAATTTCAAAAAATGTTGATCTACTTAGCTAAAAATAATGTGTGATTTAATATTTGTAAAACCAAAAAGTAACGTTTTTACTCCAAAATTGTCCATAAGGCAATGTACTTTTTCTGCCATTTAGGCATTTGACATAACTTCATCTAAATGAAGTTTTGCCATTAAAAGTTTTTTTACTTTAGAATCTGATATTATTTTTATATCGATATTATATAATAATTACCAAGTAAATTATCGTAAGTAATATCATAAGGGCATCTAATTTTTCCGAAAAAAATCGAAAAAACACGTAATATTTTAACAAGAAGCATGAGTGCTGGTGGCAACAAAAATCCGAGTCGAAGACGAGGATTTTTGCACTTGCACGAATGCATTTTGTTAAAAAATATTACTTAACACATATAACCTAAAATATCACGTCCGCGTGTACATATCGGTAAAGTCTATATTGTGAAAACAAGTGTAAAATCAAGACAATGGAGATTTCGGGCGATGAAGATGAAGACACCGACAACCCCCTTTCGGAATTTTTATCAAAGAAGAGAAAGTATAGTAGTTCGG